AGGCAGGACACAAGCAGAGGTTCAGAAATGACTTGGACCCCCTCCCACCACCACTCACCCCCTACCGTGGGAGAGCCAGCCTAGCTCAATCTTGAAGACAAAGCTTCACCCAGCTTGGGGGAGGGGTGGGAAGAAGAGGCTCCAGGCCCAAGCCGCCCAGCCCCCATTCAAGTGCTAATGAGCTCCAGCTGGGATCGTGAAAGCGGCGAGAGAAAACACTGAGGCTGTGGGGCCCCAGGACTGGGTACCAGCCCACCTGGAGCCCAGGGCAGAGTTCCTGTCATACCCCCAAACCTAGGGCCTCAAGATGGCAGTTCAGCCCACAGAAATCAGGCCTAAGTTCTCTGTGACAGTTTGTCACTCCCAGTGACCTCAACTGTGTGCCTCGGTCTCCCCATTTGCTATGAGCAGCTGCTTGAGGGCAGGAGAGGAAGTTACCCAGGACCCTGTACTGTGGCTAGGCCATCTCTAGGTTAGGGAGATATCTCCCCACCAAACGCTCAGCTGTGCAGGTATAGCAGAGGGTCACTCACCCAATTCGCACCTCTGGTAGCATAGTGGTTGCGAATCGGGTTGTGAACCTCAAAGTCAGCAGTTCAAAACTACCTACCAGCTGTTCCGCAGAAGAAAGATGAGGCTTTCTGCTCCCGTAAAGATTTACAGCCTCAGAAACCCTGTACAGGGTCGCTATGAGTCGGAACCGACTCCACGGCACATAACAACAACAACAACAAGGCTTGAGTGTCAGGACAAGGTTCTCCAAGTATACAATCCCTACAATGCACAGTCCTGTCTAGGTTATGGATGGAGAGTAGACTCCTGGCAGAAGCTGCAATTCAAACTCAGGTCTGTAAGACCAAAGATGGATCCAAAGAAGGGGAGTCCTCTTCCTTCAGGCCAGGGAACACCCAGCTAAAGGCTTGGAAACGTAGGCCAGGTCTTCCAGCCTGCACTTTTGCTAAGCTAGTTCTTCTGCCTCCAATGTCTAACCCTAGCACCCATAAAACTCCTCCTCCAGGAAGCCCACCCTTTCCAGGCACCACTAACCTCTTAAGACTGCCAGAAAGCCGCATACTGTGTGCCCAGTAGAGCCAGACTGAGGGTCTGCACACAGCAGGAGCCAATTGACTGGCTGGCTAGGATATTAGGCTAGCCCAACCCATCTCCAGTTAGACCAGGCCCCAAGTGGTAGCCTCAAAATTATGCTTATTCCTCTCCCCACAAGCTAAGTCCTGTTCATAGATGTGCTAAATAATGTCATTCTTTCCATATACACTTAATAGGCACCTATAGTATGCCAGGCCTATTACTGGAGACAGAGACAAGACAAAGGCCACAAAACTTTCTTCCTTTTCTTTTGGTAAATCTAATTGAGCCCTACTCTCTCCAGGGTCTGCATGGGTCAGGCCCAGAACTTGGCTCCCCTGGGTAGCAGTGACAGCCTGTGACAGTGTTCTAGTCTGGGCTTCATGGTGCAGCTGTAGTCTGTAGTGGGACCAAGAGGAAACAGTCTGAAGAACTTTTCGTCTCAGTCTCTCTCTCCCAATCTTGGTCATCAGCCCTACACCGAGCCCCTGCCATCTGCCCATGTATACCAGACTGTGGCTCAGTGCCTACCATCTTACTCCATTTTCATCATCCTCAAGACCAAGTTCAGAGGACACATCCCTCATCCAATAAACTGATCAAAAAGTAGGTATCAGGCTCCATGCTGGATATAAAAGGCACAGAAATGAACAGGATCCAGCCCTGCCCATCTTGGAGGCTGGACAGCTATGACCCAAACAGATACTAGGCTCTGATGGGGGAAGCACTAGAGCTGGGTGCCAGAGGAGGTGCTATATATATTCAGCCTCAGCAAAGAGGGGAAGTCACGGAAGGCATCCTGGGATGAGATTCCTAAGCAAAGTCATAAAGAACAAACTACTGGGAGTAAATTCAAAGGAAACAGGGGGAAAGCATGCCAAGTAAAGAGAGAGCAGGTACAAAGGTCCAGGGGCAGCAGACAACTTTTGTATTCATACCCTTAAGACTTCAAGGTGAGCATTCTCTCTCCTTTCTCTGCCAGGCAGCAGCCCACACAGTCCATCTCTGCTCTAAGAGCTTCAATTTTCTTTCTCTTAAGTGTTGTTGTTAAGTACCAACGAGTCAATTCTACAAAACCTGTAGTTTCCAAGGAGCAGCTGGTGGATTTCAACTGTTAACCTTGTGGTTTGCAGTCAAGTGCTGACCCTACAGAGCCATACCAAGTACCCATCCCAAAATCCAAATTCCACCTGGGCCTTGTTGGTCGGCCAAGCAGAACTGGGTGGGAGTGGGGATATCCCTGGAATTGGGCTGGTATCAGCACCTCTGCTCCCCTGACCAAGCTGCCAGTGAAAACCCTCTTGCTAGTTCATACCACATCTGCCTCTGCCCCAGTGACAGTGGCTGACTGCACACACCCACTGGCAAGGCTACCCAGGACAAGAGACAGCCTTACGTGGGTGGGACAAAAGGCGTGGCTCTGACTGGGAGGGAAGACTGGCAAGTGCCCAACCTGAGTCCCGTTGCTTTGACAGTCTTGTCCGCTACGTGGGACAGGTGCCCAGCAGTCTGAACTGGCCATAGTTGGGCACCCATTACCATCTTGTAAAGGAGCTCTGATAGAGTAGTGTGGTTAGGAATTGGGCTGCTAACCTCAAGGTCGGTAGTTCGAAACTACCAGCTGTTCCTCGAGAGAAAGATGAGGCTTTCTGCTCCCGTAAAGAGTTACAGCCTTAAAAAGCCTGTGTAGGGTCGCTAGCGGAAACGACTCCATAGCACATAACCACCACCACCTGGATGGGGAAGGCACAACAGTGACCCTTTCCCAGGCAGTCCTGCCAGATAAGATCCTGAAATTCAGATGGAGCTTAGTCTCCCATACTCTTGCAGTGCACCCCTCTGCAGGATCCTAGTCCCCACCCCACACTCAAAACATGAGACCCTATTTTCCCTGACCTGCACCCAGGCACTCTCACACAGGCAGCCCTTCGGCTCAAACCCAGGAAGCTCATTTCACAGCGGCCAGAAGGGCTGGACTGAGTTCCCAAGTTAGAAAGTGCTCAATTGGCCCCTGTACCAGACTGCTGCCATCCCAGTGTGGGCAGAGTTGCCAGATCCCACCCGGCCTGCCCCCAAAGCAGAGCTGGGCTTCGAGGGGCAAGGTCGGCAGAACAGTGGCTCTTCTTAGGGGTAATAACTGGAGAGGAGCCCCAAATCCACCTCTCCTCCCCACTGCTGTCCCATGAGCCTGCCCCACATCTCCTCGGCCGCCATAATAGAGGTTCTGGGCTCAGCACCCGGCAGCCGTACCGGAAGCACCCTCCTCAGGCCCAGCAGGCAGCAGCGACGGGCATTTCGCTGCGTCGACACCCACTCACTGTGGCCGCAATCGCAGCAGCAAAGACAGGAAGAAGGCAAGCGCCCAACGCAAAGCAGCCCAGGAGGCTGGGCCGCCGCCCCTTCCCGCCCCTTCTCTTCCTCCCCGCTGAGGCTACAGATCGGATGCCATTTTGAAACCTCTGGGGCTGTGCCCCTGAGGCCAAGCCCTGAGGGACAGTCAATAGATATGCCTAAGATGGACAAACACACTGTACCCTAGCCATAGATACTACCTGAAAGCCCCAGCTTTTCATAGCCTGGGGCATAAAAGTGGCTCTGAGGCCGAGGGGCCACACCCCCACACGCACACTGTACAGCCTCCAACGCCAAAGCAGGGGCCTTCAGAAACTAGGGACTCTGAAACCATGAAACCACTGGGCCCCACACCTGCTTCCAGTAGGAGGCTGAACAGGAACATGCACTGGGCCCACACCACACATTCTGGTCTGCCCCCGGCTAACCCCCAACTCCTCATTCAGTTGGTCCACCACTTTCCTCTCACAGGGTCCCAAGATCCCACAGGCTCACTCTCTCCCAGAAGCTACATCCCAGCCCTTTGGCCCTGAAGTGGGCTTTGGGAAGCCCCTCACCATTCAGCAGATCTCCTCGGCAGGCCCGCAGGGGCAGCAATATGTCGCTGTCTCACCACTTCCACTTCCCCCCAATCCCTTGAGCAGCCACCATCTTCCCAGACCTGGAGGCTGGCAGTCGAAACTCCCACTCCCCACTCCTTTCTACTTCCTAGCCATCCAGGCCTCCCACTTCCCACCTCGCTGGTCTAGTTCTAATGGAGCTTAGAAACTTGAAAACGTAGCAAGTGGAATCCTCCAGAACCCTCCTGGGAGGTTTAAAACGCGGCCCCCTCCCCCAACCTAGCCAGGAGGGCCCGCTCCAGACCCCGAGGGTCTGCCCAATCCAGCTTGGATAGTGCCCAGCCCAACCCACTTAGTGCAGGAGGGGTGGGGGAATCTGGGAAGGCGCTGAGTGGGAGGGGATTTAGGGGAGGAAAAACAGCAATGCCTGAGGAAAGGGACCTGAGGATCAGAGAGGAAGGGCCTCTGCACTTTTGGGGGTTCCCATGGAAAGACGGCCAGTGAGCAGTCATAGGGTCTCACTCCAGAGGTCCCTTGGGGTGGGAAGGCACAGGTGGTGGATATAAAGCCTATAATAGTAGGAATAGGACACAGATGGAGTAGGAGGGAGGGAGTGGGGCCTAGGGAAGGTGCAGGGATGCTCAAGCACAATAGGAAAATAGAAGAAATAGGAATATGGGTGGAAAGAACCGGTGAAGCCTGAGAGTAGGGACGGATAGGGTTCTGGGAAGGATGGGAGGACAAGGCAGGAGCTCTGGGGGTCTGAGAGGCTGTTCAACAAGAGTGACTGGTCGAGTAGGGTTCTGGGCAGCTGATGCTGAAGAAAAGCTAGCTGGTGGCTGAGTTGGGATTTGGGGGTTTAGACTTAGTTCGCTCATTCGTGGGTCCGGGCTACGGTTCCAGGTCGGAGCTAGGGGTTCTAAACTCTTGTCTGGGAGTTCCAAGTTCTTGTCTGCGGATTTGGACTGTACTAGGGGTTCCAGGCATGAGGCGCAGTCTCACCCAACAGCAGCAACTTCACCTCCCGCGCCGCCTTCTCGCCATCCTCTCGCAGGTTCTTGTCGATCATCTTAGAGCGCTCGGCCGCCGCCTTGTCCTCGGCGCTCACGGTGCAGCCCATCCCGCCGTTCGCCCAGCCTGGCCGCCGTCCGGCCCCAACACGGCCCCCGGCCCGGCTCGGCCCCGCCCGACCCACTCGGCTCCCCTGCCGACCCTCTGAGGGCAGCTCTCGGGTCGGTAGTTCCGAGCGTCTGCGGGCGGTGCCTTCCCGTCCGCCGCGCACCGACGGTGGGGCGGGCCGGGGGCGGGGCCGTAGAGAAATGGGTCCGGGACTGGGCCGAGGAGGGTCTGGAAGCGGGGCCATAGTAGATCTGGGGCCAGTGATTGGCTCAGGGGCGGAGCGAAGGGCGAAGCTAGGGACAGCCCAGTCTCACGAAAGGTACAGCCCAGTTCTTGATTGGGCTCCGAGCAGGCTACAGGCGGGGCTAGGCCCCGAGTGGATTCGGAACAGAGAGCCTGGAGCTCCGCGGCCCTACAGCTAGGACCGGCGGATATCGTAGCTCTTCAAGGGCGGGGCAGGAACCCATCCTCTTTCTGAGCTTTTGCGAGTTGCGCGAGCCAAGTGCAGGAAGCGTGACTTCGTCACTTGTTAAACCAAATAAACTTATTTTGGTATCTTAAGAACCCTAGAACCTCTCTAAATTGTGGTTTTTCTCAATCTTCACTTTTTGGGTTGAGGAAAAAAGTAAAAAAGTAAAATAAAGTCGATTGCCTCACAACTGTGTCTAAGTTGTCTCCCTCAGCTGGATGCCTGCCTTCCTTTACTCACTCAAGGCTTATCTGTTATTAGGTGCTGTGAGTGGATGCCTAGTCCTGCCCCATCCTCACAATCGTTGTTAAGCTTGAGTCCATGGCTACTACCACTGGGGGTCCATCTCGTTGGGGATCTTACTCTTTTTCGCTGACTTTCAACTTTACCAATTTTATCCTTCTCCAGGAACTGGTCCCTCCTGATAATATGTCTGAAATATGAGAGAAGTCTCCATCCTGGCTTCCAAGGAGCATCTGGTTGTACTCACTTCTTCCAGCACCGATTTGTTTGTTCTTCTAGCAGTCCGTGGTACTTTTAATATTATCTAACACCACAACTCAAATGCATTAATTCTTCAAAGATCTTCCATATTCATTGTCCAACTTTCACATACATATCAAGCTATTGAAAATACCATGACTTGGGTCAGGCACACTGTAGTCCTTAAACTAGCCCTAATCTTCGGGGCATCTTCCTGCAGGCAATCATCTTGGACTCCAGCCTTGGACATGGCAACGAGGGTCCCAGGAAGAGAGACTGCCATGTACTTCCGGAAACAGAAGTGGTCACAAGCTTATGGCCTGTCCTTCCAATGGTCTGCTCCCTTCTGTCTGTGGCCACAAACCCATAGTCTGTTCCCATGTGAATAGTGGCTATAACCCTATGTCCTGTCCTCATCCACTCTGGGCAAAGGCAGGGTGTGCAAAAAGCAATGTTTCTAGAGGAACATTTCATTCTTTCTGATTCTGCTCTTCAGGAGGAGCCCACAGCCTAACCTGGATTGATCATTTGAAGGGTCTTCTAGGGTTACCCAGGAAGGTGTCATTTGTGGCCCCAGTACCATGAACCCTGAGCTCAGAAACAAGGGAAGTCTGTGAAATCAAGTAGGGGAGCTGGCCACCCAAATGCTTGGCCACCCTAAGCCCCCTAGTCATCATCTCCTTCCCACCCTAGCACATAACTTGTTCTAGCACCCCAGTCAGTCCTCAAGCTGTCCTCTCTCCCTGACTGCCTGCATTTCACTATCTGAATGGCTCTCTTGTTTCAGGAATGATTGGACTGTAAATCCTCTAATAGTTCCCCTCCCTCCCACCTGATGTCAAACAACAAGCATGGCCCACCCAGGGACCCAGACTTAACCAGAGATATGCCCTATACATTCACACAGAGGCCCAGCCTTCAACATGCCTGGGGTCCACAGAACACACTATAAAATGGGCCTACACAGCTAACAACATAGCCTGTCCAACACTACAAACCCAGCTCCAAGGCCTCTTCTCTACTAGCCCATGCCTGAAAGCCCATCCTCTCTCTTCAGGCCTACCCAGCCTGCTCCTAGCAACAGCCAACAGCTCTCACAGTTGCCAGGCAACAGGGAGAACCTGTCAGCCCCTCTCAGAGGCCCATGTCTCCAGAGGTGGGCGAGACACAGACCCCAATCAATAGAAGCAGGGCAGGGAGGAGCCACTGTGAGAATGGCCAAACCCTGTGGTGTGCTGGTCCCTGGATCTCCCAACAGCCTCCTACCAGCCAAATGCTCCCTTCCAGCCATGTGTTCCTCCTAGAGTCCAGCAACCCCCCTTTTACCCCGGTGGCTGTGTTTTTTTTCTTCTCTATGAGATACCCAGAGCTCTGGCCACACCTCTACTTAGTACTCCAATCACACATCTCTCAGTCCAGGAACTCAGGACATCTCTGGCCTGACTTTCTACCTGATTGCCAGTAGTGTTCACCATTAGGTACCTCACACCCACATTGTTCAGAACTGGGTACATCCCACCCCCCAGCCTCAGCTCCTGGGCCCTATACCCCTTCATGGCCCTTCCCACCAGCCAGACTGTGAAATTCTCCCCTCACCCCTACATCTTGTCAGCCTCTTACTTTCCTCAGTTTCCCTTAGATTTGTCTCAGTCTCTGTCCCCACTGCCCCCCATTATAAGCCTCCAGTCTCCTCCCTGGCTCTTCCGTTTCTCCTACAATTTATCCTCCATCTTGCAGCACAGGTGAGCCTGCTGAAGCAAATTACAGAACTCCCTTGCTCACAGACTTTCCTTGGCTCCCCAGTACCCTGAGGGTAAATCCCACACACACTGCTCTGGACCACACAAGAAGAGGTAGAGTGGCAGTTGACAGCAAGAAAGACTTTAGGGAGCAATCTGAAAACTTGCCAAATGTGTGAGTTTGGACATGTATCAGAAACAGCCTGTGCCTCAGTTTTCTCACCTGCAAATTGGGCCTACCGGTAATACCCACCCACCACAGCATAGACTGAGGTTGGCCTAAGGGAGAAAACACAGGAGTAAAATGCTCAGAAAATGTCTAGCACATGAAAGCCCTCACTAGAGATGAGTTGTTAGTATAGTGATTTCTGTAAAATCCTGCAAGGAATGTCCCTGCCTGATCAGTCTACCTCATTTCCGAATTATACTAAGAACACGCCAATCTTCCAGCCATCTGTGTAGCCTTGCTGTCCCCATCCTCTGATTCCCTCCCTCCATTCATCGCTCCTCCCCATCTTTTTTTCCCTGGCTGTGAGAAGGAGGGACCTCTCTGATTCCCATTGTCCTGGGATGGGATGGGATGGGCTCTTCCCAAGACCTATCCCATCTGCCTGGTGGTCAGTCTCCCTCACCCAGGTACCGACTTCAGGTCCTTTGGGGCATAGCACTGCTCCTTGAGGGTGATAGATAAATATTTGCAAAATTGAGTGATTGCACAAACTGTCCCTCACCCTTCCAGCTAGTCTTAAGTTCCTATTGTCCTGAGCAGGGTGAAAAATGAAGATATCCTAATTGGGCTGACCCATCAGCCTACAGGCTCCAGGAAGAGGAAGCTACCAGTACTTCCCCAAAGGCAGTTTCGAGTGGGTGTGTCTGCCTAGGTCCCTCCTTACTAGAGTCCTGGAATAGGCAGGGATGCCCAGAGCCTGGGATTCTCATTACTCCACCTCCATGGCTTCCTAGGGCAGCGGGGTCCCTGGCAGAGGCCCTGTTACCACCAGATCACAGCCTTGCTGGCAGGCCCTCTGGGTAGCTTCAGTTTGCACTCTCTCCCTACAGCCCTCAGTCAGACTCCACCTCCTCAAATACAAACTCTGTCCCCCTTCCTGCTTTGTTGGCCCAGTAGCAGTTCTGAGATGGGAATCAGCAATCCTGTCCTCCCTTCCCCCTCGCTACCAAGACTCTCCTTCCCTAAAAAAGAGCTCTTCCAGGCCTGGGGGCCCTCAGGGCTCCCTTCCTGGCCACCCAGCCCCTGCACAGATAGAATAATCAGGGCTCAGTACTAGAAGTTTAATTTTATTAGAAGTTTACTTAACTAGAAGTTTCTAGATGGACCGGGGGACCCACCTGAGATGGGATAAGAATATGATGATCTGTAGTGGTGGTGGTGGTTATGTGCTGTGGAGTTGGTTCTGACTCATAGCCACCCTGTACAGGGTTTCCGAGGCTGTAAATCTTTACGGGAGCAGAAAGCCTCATCCTTTTCCCGCAGAACAGCTGGTAGTTTCAAACAGCTAACCCTGAGGTTAGCAGCCCAATTCGTAACCACTACACTACCTGATCTGTAGAGAGGTGTAATCTTTTCAACCTCAATGTGCTCAAATGATCTGTTCAGCTTTAGTGTATCTATTGTGTGTCAATGTGCTGAGAACTCTAGGGTGAGTGAGGAATCCTTGTACAGCCTAGCTAGTGAACAGGGAAACATGGTGACTTGAGAACTATTGAGGTGTGTGTGCATGAAGCTGCCAATTGATATCTAGTTGGTTCCAACTCACAGTGACTAGAGCAGCAGGTGGGTTTGAACCATCAAACTTGTAGTTAGCAGTCCAGTGCTTATTCTACAGAGCCACACTAGTACTCCCAACGTGTGAGAAGGAATCAATGGTGTATTGACCAGAAGTGAGTGGCAGGCAGATGTGTAAAGGCCCTCTGAGGTGGGAAAGAGTTAGATGTTCCTGGAACTCAAAGGAGGCCAGCCTGCCCAGAAGAAAAAGAGCCAGAGGGATGGTGTTGTCAGAGGAAATCAGGGTGATGACCATGCAGGGCATTGTGGATTGCAGGGAGGACTCTGGATTCATCTTGGAGTTCTAGGAGGCACTGTGGGGGAAAGGGGCAGACAGGGGCTTCCCAAGTCCACGGGAGATGCTGAGGTATGTTTGATTGTTAGCCTGCAGAGTAGCTGACCCTGTAAATTCAACTGGTCCTGACTCTGTTCCTGGTGTGTATATATGTGTGTGTCTGATGGGGGTGTGGGGGCACTGCTCTGGGCCTTGGCAGCAAATCCAAATAGGCCTCAGTGCTTTAAGGGCAAGGTCCAGGCGGAGCTTCCCTTTCTGTCCTCAAAGATCTCATGGTCCAACCTGTCACTGTGCCTGCTTCATACACAGTCTCTAAAGGACACCTCTCCTGAGAGCCCT